TCGACAAAGCAAGAATTGTTTCCAAGCGACAACATGTCTGTCTGAGCCAGGTTCAACCTATTTGCAACAGCCATCAAATTGACATGTACATGTGGTGCATGATTGCATATGCAGGTTGAAAAACTCTGAAAACATGGGACATGCAAAAGTGGAGCATAAACACATGGTGCATGCTAACATGACGATACATTGCATCGCCGTTCGACCGCATTGGTCATCTGGAGCCAAAAACAAGAACATTGCATGATGTTCCATGGTGCATTTCCAATAAGGCATGCGTGTGCCTCTGATGATGTGCATTTCATCATGATGCGTTCAAGTTGGCTCAAGTTGTCGAATGGCTGCCTTTTTCCTTCGACATTCATACATGTATGGCATTTATCTGAAGCAAACATTGCAGGCCGGAGAAAGGAAAGCTGGCTTTGTCTGAAGCCTGTCGTAGCTGGCTGACATCTTTCGGCCGCATTTGAACTCAGCCCCAGCTTCGTCTGCAAAGACGTGGATGCATCTGGAAATTTTATTCCGGACGTACACTGCATCTTCGACCTCAATGGCCTTTTCTGGTTGCCAATCTCCGACCACGTTTCTGCAGGCAGCTTCTTCCTTTTCACAGTCAACATCTTCCTCGTTCTCCGTCGCTGTGCTGGACGAAGCTCCATCGTCGTCGTCCTCTGGTGGTTCAACTGGGTCCATGTCCACAAACCTGCCTGAACGCGTCTCATCAGGTCTGAACTTCTCAGATTTTATGACCTCCAGCGTGTGACATAAGTCACGCAAAGGACCCGCAGCAGCATCGCGACTGTAAACGAGCATTGAGGTTTCCTTGGAAGCACTGTGATACCCAAGGATCCGTCGGGATTGTCCTGACATATTGAACTTGGCACACATCGACAACAGGCTGGCCTTGCATGAGTGCGTGCCAATCCGCACCGGCCCATCAGCTTCCACCCCTTGAAGGAGAGCCCTGAGCCATCCAGCGGCGGCTGTCACAGTCAAGGGAATCTTCGACCATCCACCACCGTTCGATGGTGTTGTCAAAAGCGGCACAAAACCTTGGGCATCTCCCATGGCAGGTAAGACATTCTCTTGTCGGAGGTTCAGCCACGTCTGCACCCATGGTTTTGGGCCTAAGCATTGTAAGGGCACAGCAATGGGTATGTGTCGGGCTTTCTTCTCCAACGTGATGGACGTCTTGGTCTTCTCGGCAAGGCATTCAAGAAATCCAAAACCGTCTGGACGCTCATCCAGCAAGAGTGAAGACACCTGTAACCCATCTGAGTATCTCAGCCTTCCGTACACAAGGAAAAGGAAGTACCCACTGGCCAGTCTATCAAAAATTGCCCTGCCCTCATCGTGCACCGTGGCTTCTAGGTGCAGGATCTGCCTCACGGACAGGGGTGGTCTTTGGACCAGTTTCTTCCTCTGGCCATACAAAATGTCGACCAGCCCTTTGATTCTGCCAGAAGCCCTTATTGAAGCTGCTCCATGAAGTCCAAAATGATGGTCCGCAAAATTGATCGACAAAAGCAGCGATCTAGGGAATGAGGCAGCTCTGTTGTTGCATGCCTTCAGGAAGTCGTACACCTGGAACTCATGGAGCGGCATGCATGGCTTTCCGCGCTCCTTGTAGAAGCTGATGTATTGGAGCAAAGGACCAGCCCTGCTATGGAGAGTGTTAGTAGCCCTCGCTCCCAGTGCATCAGCTATGCTCTCCAACAAGCCTCCACGGGCAAACTCCATTGCCCTGCATTGCACTTCGAGCCGGGCTATCTCCCAGGCACCAACTTCATGGAGAATGATGGATGACCACTTTTTGTAGGCAGCCCTTCTCTCCCATGACAACTTCTCTGCCCACAGTCGATTATCGATGTTGTTTGCGGCCCTGATTCCAGCCATCTTGAAAGCGCTGTCAGTCGAGGCCTCTTCCAACTGCACCTCCTGTTGTTGGCGCACCGGCATTGGAGGCATAGCCGATTTGACCATGTCAGCGTAAACAGTCCTCATTCGTTTGCATGCTTGCCATGGTGAAGTCATCACTCGGTCCCAGGGCATTGTAAAAGCAGAGGATCTGTTTTGAGTCCAAACATGTGCCAGGTGCATGTTGTAAGCATCATCATCAAAATTGTTGCCGAAATTACTTGAAAAAGGCATGATTGCAGTGCTATGATTCGGTACCCCTGTCATCTTCAGCAGGTCGTGGCGTGGTCCAGGCAAGTGGAGGATCTGGCACCCGTTGGGGGTGTGCGATGGCGTCTTGAAGTTCCTGAAAATCCCTGACTTCAAGCAAGACTGCAAAACAAGTGATTCGAAAACACCTCGTGGAGGATGAATCGAAAAATTGCAGAAACACCGCTGATCCGTTGTCCACGCCAAACAAGAGGTCAAGCACAGGATTGCTAAAAAGTTGATCGTATCGATCCAAGTCAGCTTCTGAATGCACATCAATTTGCATATGACACTGTCGGTAAGAGGAGCCAAAAGAAACAGCTAAACCAGCCCAAAATGAAACCAGTCGTAGCAGGCAAAACCCAAGAGGAAACGGCTGCCTCAGCCTTCCAGGCGATGTAGGCGGTGTGCCCACGGTCAATGGCTCCACGCCGACGCGTCAGTGAAACTGAACAATCCGGTGCTATCATAGCACATGCACCCACCCACCCTCCGCACTTGGGGTGTAAAACACCAAACATGTAATGATACATGAACATGCATGCATGTAGTGACGTGTGTGACATCCACAGTTTCACGTTTGTTTAGTTAAGATGATTGACAGATACTGCACTTGAATCATAGCCTCACTTGTGAAGGTTTGACATCATGTCGCATTTTCTGATAAGAACAGATACTACACTGGAAGCATTGTGTCACGTTGACATCCAACTGCATCGTTTCGTGAGGTTTGTCATTTCATTTTTTTTTTGAAATGCTTCAAATAAAACCACTCGTCAGTTCAGTATCTGCTTTGCTCATATGTTTGTTGGTAAACACTTGTTTACAAAAGGCAACATTGCAAACCTGACAGTCCACAAACGGAAGTGTAAATTGAGCACAAAACATAAACTTACGTAAGGCATATTTACGCGTGAGGGCGAAGTTGTACATTGAGTTAGAAAGCCGCTCATGCCTTCGCTTTCCTTCTTACTATAAACCAGCATTAGCAAGCTAACGCAAAACAAGCCCCAGACGTAGTCACCCAGGATGTAGTCCTTATGTCGTTCCATAGTGTCACGACTCATGTCCTGGATCTCTTCACGATTGGTATGCTTCAGGGCTAACATCAAGATGCAATGCAACATTACTGACAGCCGACGCCTAAGTTGTTCAGGACCTGTTGGAAGTGCCACCGTTGTTGAACCCTTTTTAACTGACAAAGCCCCCTTTGAATCAAAGATCGGCACCATGATGTCCGGGTCCACCTCATCCTTAGAAACCACCTCTGACAGCAATTCCGCACGGAATTCACCGTTCTCAAGCTCTTGCAACTTTTTCTCCATGTATTCCTTTGAAGCTGTTACCTTATCCTCAATCTTCCCATGGGCCCTCATGAAGGCATTTCGTAAGTTGATGTAGTCACCAGTTGGAATCGGCTTCGTCCATTCACGTGTATCCATCTCTGCTTCAACTTCTGCTTGGCGTTTCTGTTTCGTCTGAGTCTCCCGCCAGGCGCATATCACTGAAGCCAGTTGCGCTCGTGCTTCCAAACCATTTGCTGCATCTGTTGCAAACGAATCCCTCATAACCTCTATCAGATCATCTTCAGAACGGAAGAAAGAAGAGAACTTCTGAATTGTTGTGATACCATTGGTGAAAAATGCTGCTTGCAGATCATCGTCCACATCATTCCTTGACAAGGTGAACCTAAGGTCAGCTCCACCCTTTCTCAGTGCTTCCTCACGAGGAATCGGTCCCGCCATCTCGTCGGCGCTCGCGCAATGTCAAGTTGATGAATGAAATGCAAGACAACTGAACTGCCTATCAATCTGTACAAATGAAAGTCTGTCACAACAAAACCAGTTAGTTCGTTCCGTTTCTGCCGTTTCAAACAGTATACAAAAACCTAACACAAAGCCAGTCTGTTCAAGGTCATTTGAAACTCTGCCGATAGCTGAGCCATCTCTCCGGTGACATGTATAAATGAACTCTTCTGGATCACCCCGGGCACTACTTGCCGGTGCCTGATTTTTCTTTCCACATTTTCTGCACATGGTCTTTTCTTCCGGACACATGTTCCAGCCCCTTCCAAGGAATTGCTTCCAAAAAAAATTCCAGAAAATGACAAATACGGTGAAAATCCCAGTCAATTAAAATGCACAGCTCAGCAAACGGCCTACAAATGAGTTTCCATTTTTCCGCACCAGCCTCCGGGATCCCGGTCTCTATGAGACTGATCCTACCGGTGATACCTTGCCTCCATCCGAGCTCGTTCACTCAGGCATGTTATGGTGTGAGACTCAACACATTCGAAGTGCAGAAAAAAAGCAAAATGCCTAATGCACAGAGTTTGCAACAATTGAAACATCCAAGCCTAATGCTCCATGATCGACCCAACTCCAACTATCCAAAGTGGTTTCACTCTGGGCTGTCCTGGTCCTCCGAGCTCGAGACACTACCTGAGCTGGACGTCGATGAAGAAGAGGAGGAGTCCTCAATGGCCTCCTTCACGCTGGACTTTGGCCAACATACCTTGCAGACATGTGTGAAAGAAGTTTCATCTGGCATCTGAAAGAACTCTGTTGAAGACTTGAACGTCATCTCACGCCCCATCCAGCATCCACCATGACTCTTGTGTAAACGCCTACAACGTCTGCCACTGTTGACCACCACATACAACGGTTTTCTTGATTCCTTCTCAATGTTTGTTTTGCTCTCTACAGCCCGCGCATCACCTAACTCCATGGGGAGTCCTACAGGTTCTTCTGCTACATCGTCATCTTCGGCTGTCCTCCAACCAGGTTGCACCTTGCACTGAAGTGAATCCTCCAAGTGTGCAAGCATCACCTGTAACTGATCATATGGAATGGGATCACATCTATCTGCCAGCCAAGAGTTTGCACTTTCTATGATGTCTCTCTCATCCAAGAGTGCTGTACGATTGCCACTGCATAAGGCCCTGGCAAATTGTTGTTGCAGTCGGGACACCACTCCATTGTACATGCGTATGTAAGTATCTGAACCATCCGGCTTCCACCTACCTAGCATGTCTCGTTCCTCCTTAGCCACCCTAAGCAGTGCAAGACCTGTGGGCAATGTTGCTCTCTCTGAATGTTCCGTCCAGAAACCAGCCAGTGCTGGGTCAATCAAAGGTTCTTGAGTCCCCGGCCTTTTGGCGGTCTTGCGCACCACTGCAGAGTATGAGGAAATATCATTGTATGTAGCCATGACCCTACGGAAACCAGACCATTCCTTGTTCAACTTCGGTAGCAGATAGTCCCTCTCAAAACTTGCATGTTCCTTGAACAAGTCAAAGCCAGTTTTCAACCAAAAAGGGCTCACCACAAATGAATGCTCAGATACGCAGACCGGCAGTTCTTGTATTCTCTTAGTTGGTCCTGTTGTTTTGGTCGTACGCAGGATTGTTGTCATGCGCCCCCCATAGTACTTGAGCTCTTTGGGGATGATCTTCTGTATATCATCCCTACGCAGTGATGCCCATAGCTTGACCAATTTCAGCCAGGCAATAAGTCTGATGCCCAGCAATAAGGCCTCGTTATCCACCATGGCCTCAAATGCCTCCAAGAAGACCGCTGGGTATCTCGGCGCTCTTTTTGTCGGGGGTGCATCCTTCGACAACATCTCCACTATGTAATCACGCACTGATGCCACCACTTGTGACTCACCCACACGCATCCTCATGTCCAAACATGCAATGCGCTCCATCCAGGTGATCGCTTTCACCACCAGGCCCGGGACAGTGGGTCCACATGGCTCGTCATACCTTGCAAAAAGGTACTCCACCAAGTCGCCTGGCACTGGATATTCCAGCGCCCCCTTCACCGCTGTAAGCCACTGCATGAATGCCATCCATGTTTTGACATATCTCTTGAGTGTGTTGTACCTTGTACGCCCAGCCAAAGCCATATGGAGATGACGGTCACTCACACAATGTTCTAGGTGTTCCAGGGCAGGTGCATCAAACTTCTTAAGTTCCAGATACAACTCTCTCGACCAGAACTCCTTCTGCTGTGCCTCCTTATGCTTACGTGCATGCTGCTCTTCCTCTGTATGCGGCTTTCTTCTGGATGGTCTCGATCCAAACTCTTCAACCACTACCATTTCAGCTTTTCCTCCGTATCCACTACTACTCTGTCCAGAAAAACTCCTACGTTCATCAACCAATACTGAATGCAAGGGATCTTGTTCCAGGTCACCTCTCAAGCGCTTCGCCAACGGCTCGGCTCGCCTGGCATCCTCTATCCAGGTCCCTACCAGATCAACGTGAGAAATCTCACAAATGATACCCAGCTTGCGACAGAGTTGATTTGCAATGGATTCTGCATCGTTTCTGCTGAAGACCGCTAGTTTCTTTCCAATCAAACCGTAGCCATCCAATTCAGCCCACATGCTTGCAGCAGCATCGAAATCATCCATGAGTCTTTAAAAAGACTGGGCACCGCCGAAATCCTACCTAAAAAATTGCACCAACCCAAGAAAACCTTGGTCCACTGAAAACGGTTGTGGAATCAATATATAAAAATTCAGAACAACTTTCTAAATCCGGAAAGTAGGAGAATGTGTGTTCATAAAAATTGGTTGTTTCCAGTGACCGGGAAAACAACCCCAAAAACCGAAGCATCCCAAAATAACCGGAAACCATTTCCGAACGAGTGGAGTTAAACATTCAATAAAAGCAATCCTCTCGTTTGATGTTCTGATGGTTTCAGGATACTTCCAAGTTACTCAGGAGAAGAAAGCTTCCGCTCACAACACCGCTGCACGAGAACCGCGTACAGGAAGGAGAAGGGAAGACATCGCTGAACACGCGTGGAGAAGACCGGGCAAAGCGCAAGAGCAAACACCGGCTCGCGCCAAAGAACTTACGTCCGAATACACAGTCGCAACATGTCGCGATTGCCTCATTCTATCTTTCCCTCGGTCACTATATGCTTCAAGCATTGGCCATTGTTGCCTCTTCGCTGTGCACGCTCCAAGCGTCCATTGATTCTCTTCAGGGCAACCAATAATTTCCCTTCAATCTGTGGATCTTCATTGACTTCGGGTTCAGGTGCTGTTGGATGGGTCACCAAAGTAGTTGGTGGAAAGATCACTGGCCTCAGTACCATGTGTACCCACCAAGCGCCATAGTCCATGCAGTCAAAACCAAAGTTGTAAAAGGGATCATCTTGATGTCAGAGGTTTCCAAGTCGCCAATGTCGCATCCACATAAGCTCATGCCAGCCACTCCATGCACAAACGGTGTGGCAATCCCAGTAGGCACTCCAGAGTTCAAAGCTGTGGCATGACCACCAGTGGTCACCAGTGTTGATCGTAGGCGAATCCTCATCACTTGACAAGTCTGCGATGTCTTCAAGAACCTGCTGAATATGGCCCCTGGCTTCCGTGGTGGCTACTTCCAAGGCAGCCAGCATATCACTCAGGATACCTTGTCGGGCCAAGTACTAGTTCGTTTTGTAGGGATCATGCCTTGTAACAGCTTTCTGCAACCTCCTTGCACATCGGTCGTACAACCAATGGATCATGCCCTCTTCAGACCATGCAGGGCAGTCTGAGACGGAGGCATCCACATCTGAGCTGTTGTCGATCGGCTCTTCTCCAGCGCCATTGCTCGAAGCTGTGGTATCGATCACAAAATCAAGACTTTGCAAGGGTTCCCCAGGGCGGATGGCCAGGTAAATGTAGCCAATCAAACCCAGCAGCCACGTGAACAAAAACACGGCATTGAAGCATCCTCCAGTTGCCAAAGAGTCCATGGCGTCAGAACACCACTGAAGCTGAGTAAGCACGCTCAAGGCGCTAATCAAAAGATTGATCTGGCTGTGGCCCTGTTTGATTTGTGACATGCCTGAAAATGTTTCCTGGGTCATGGGCTCCTTCCAGATTGTTTCCTCTCCAGATACCCAAAAAGTAACACAACGACTCGAGCCTTGCTGCGCTGAGTCTCTTTGTGGCAATGTCTGCAGGGTTGAGTGCTCCCATCACTGATCTCAACAGCAAACGTTTTTCCATGATTAAGTCCTGCATCCACAAGATCCTGCATGACAAATGCCTCAAACGACCTACACCTTTGCGAGAAAGAACACCTCTTGCTGCTGATGAATCCAGATACAAACACATCATGAAATGACATCGGAGAAGCCATGAAAAGATGGTTGTGATCAAGATCGCATCCATGGTGACCGACGCAGCTGCATATGTTTCTGACTCTGCGCTCGAAAGTGACACGATCTTCTGTGTCCTGGAGCTTGAATAGGCGAGACAGCCACCAACGTAAATTGCAGCTCCCGAGACAGAGCGTCTTGTCTCTCTGTCAACTGCCCAGTCAGCATCGCTGAAAATTTTCACCATCGGCTCCTCGTTCTCATACTGTTTTAAAACACCAGCATGCAAACCTTTCCATTTCAAAGACATGCACTGTTCGGAGTGTGCTGCCATGTAGCCAACCAGGTGTTTCAGCACCATCAGGGATTTCTCAGTTGGCTTTGAAGGGAAAGTGGATAAGTATCGAATCACATACTGGCATTGTGGCCGGTCAGCTGACAAGTACAGAAGAATCCCCATGCAAGTACGGTACATCGAAGCATCATGGGAACTGAGTTCTGGAGACTTGTCTGGAATCTCCATCTCGCTGTGACCTGGGGCCTTCTTGCTCTGAAGCCTTTTGGAAAGGCACGAGTTTGCACAGCTGATCGAGGTGCTTGTGATGCACTCGAATCACCATCCTGCCATCTTCCAACAGTTCATGCATGGGTGCGCTTGAGAAAGGTAACTTCATCTCTGGGTTTCGACATGAGGTCAATGGAGATTGCATACTTCGACTGCAGTGAAGGCGCAAGCTGTTTCATCACGGCATCTCGGCTGCCGACGATGAGAAGGTCATCCACATGGACCATCAAGAAGCAATCGCCATTCTTGCTTCTCAAAATGCTTGGGTAAGCATCTAACTCTGCTATTTCCAGCGGGCACTCTTTGACGAACTTTGCCAAGTCCTTATACCAAAGTAAACTTCCATCTCTCTGCCCGGGCAAGACACGGCCCAAGCTATATTGCACAGAGTTTCCATTGGCATCTGTGCATGTCACTCGTGCCCACCTCCTGTTTCACAGTGACAAAGGCGTCCTTGGCGTCAATTGATGCCATAATGCAGCAAATTGGAAGGATTCTGTTTGCCAAGCTTGAAGTTGCTGGGGATTTTTTTCCCGTCCAACGCCTCTTGGCTTCCGCCAGGTCGTTCTCCACCCTAGATTGCATGTTGCATATTGGTTAATTCATTAATTATAAAGCAGTGACGTTATCCATCTTCATAGAAGGAACTGACACAGGATCAGTACACAGTCCAAATAGCCGTCACTATTCCGGAGGAACCAAACAAAGAAAAAAACAAACCATTTTGGGGCAAACCAAACCTTTACTAAAGCAACCGAGGTGGCAAACCTCCATAGCAAGGCGATATATCATGTATACGTCATGCTAAAACCAATAGAGGGGAATATAACGCGCAACACAAACCAAACATAAAAACACATGAGGTGACATCACAAAGCAAAACAACAAGTGCAAACACAATCTCAAAAGGTGGACATCACGGTTCACTCTCTTTTTGTCACGTGGGGCAGGACATTCGAAATCCAGTAAGTGACGCCCAAAAAGTGGCATACCTGTTCCCATACGATCTCACTCCAATAATATCGTTTTCAGTTTCCAGTCAAGTCTCCAGTTGAGACACTCAATGTATCATCACCTCACCAAAAATGTGAAAATACCACATCCCCGTCTCAAAGGTGAAGTCGGCGTAGGAAAATATCGTAAAGGCGGTGTTCAAGACCGCGTATTGCTCGATTGCACATATGTAAAAATCTTTGAAGTTCAGCATGAATCTGGTCCAAGAAGACCACGATGAAGTGGCCGTCAAAACCCATGTCTTGCAGAAGATCAACTGTTTCTTCAATGTGGCATTGAAGTTGGAGAACGGTCATGCGAACTTTCGCAAAGAAAAGCAGTTGGGCAATCAAAATTTGCAATCGCAAGACACTGGTGTGGCGGACGGCACGGAGCATGGATAAGAAATATGGAGGTTCAAAGATTTTTCATAAGTAGAGCCAAAGCTCGAGCAAATGGAGTCAGGCCCAAGTGGTCTGACAAATCAGAAAATGTTGTCCATGGACAGGTAATGCTGACCAAGTGTCAGCAATTCGCCACTGTAAGGTAAAAGGGGGAGGGAGGGCGGGTGAAAATGGTGGAGTAAACCACCAGCGGCCACAAGCTGCACTGAGTACCCATGTGCACCGCTGCCCTTCCCATTCCTTAATACCAAAATGGCCACACATTGACAAAATTAAGGTTTTCAATAAACCAAATATGTCCCATTCAGATTGCATTATGTTGTATTCCCCTTCCAGGTTAAGAGGGGTCAATGAACCCAACATATCACGTTAAGGTTGTACAAGGTTTGTGTTCCCCTTCCAGGTTCTCATTCATTTTTTTTTTAAAGGTTTGGCGCTCCATGGCATTCCGCTGTTTTAACCCCAAAAGGAATTAGTGCCTTGCACAAATAATCTTTTGGGGCAAACCAAACCTTTACTAAAGCAACCGAGGTGGCAAACCTCCATAGCAAGGCGATATATCATGTATACGTCATGCTAAAACCAATAGAGGGGAATATAACGCGCAACACAAACCAAACATAAAAACACATGAGGTGACATCACAAAGCAAAACAACAAGTGCAAACACAATCTCAAAAGGTGGACATCACGGTTCACTCTCTTTTTGTCACGTGGGGCAGGACATTCGAAATCCAGTAAGTGACGCCCAAAAAGTGGCATACCTGTTCCCATACGATCTCACTCCAATAATATCGTTTTCAGTTTCCAGTCAAGTCTCCAGTTGAGACACTCAATGTATCATCACCTCACCAAAAATGTGAAAATACCACATCCCCACTTAAACAAATCTTTCACATTTACCACCCTCAAACATTTCAAGGCGCACGCCATCTTTTCTCTTCAGTCACAAGTCTTGGAGTACAACATCCAAGATTGGGCACATGCATTGGTCGCGCACAGCTCCAAGTGCCTCAACAAAGGTAACGTCACCCCTTGAAGGTCCATCTCCAGGGTTGGAGGCACTGGGCACTCTAGAGATCCACATCCATGATCTGCTTTCTTTTTCTGCTTTTTCGATTTGCAGCAAAAGGTTCCTAAAGTGTACATTTAAGGACGACCCCTTTACAAGGGCCTCTTTTGCCGACTCATTATCCACAAATGCTATTGCTTTCCTACCACTCAAGTGATCCCTCCAAACGTGTCTCGCGACAACAACGCCATACAGCTCAACCATGGCAATGACATGCTTGGAAGTGGTCTTCCAGGCTTCAATCAAACCGCTGGGGACATGGCATGCAAAGTATCGGA